GGTCTCTCTCTGGTCTCTCTTTCTGGTCTCTCTCTCTGGTCTCTCTCTGGTCTCTCTCTGGTCTCTCTTTCTGGTCTCTGTCTGGTCTCTCTCTGGTCTCTCTCTGGTCTCTCTCTCTGGTCTCTCTCTGGTCTCTCTCTCTGGTCTCTCTCTGGTCTCTCTCTGGTCTCTTTCTGGTCTCTCTCTGGTCTCTCTCTCTGGTCTCTCTCTGGTCTCTCTCTAGTCTCTCTTTCTGGTCTCTGTCTGGTCTCTCTCTGGTCTCTCTCTCTGGTCTCTCTCTGGTCTCTCTCTCTGGTCTCTCTCTGGTCTCTCTCTGGTCTCTCTTTCTGGTCTCTCTCTAGTCTCTCTCTCTGGTCTCTCTCTCTGGTCTCTCTCTCTCTGGTCTCTCTCTGGTCTCTTTCTGGTCTCTCTCTCTGGTCTTTCTCTGGTCTCTCTCTCTGGTCTCTCTCTGGTCTCTCTTTCTGGTCTCTGTCTGGTCTCTCTCTGGTCTCTCTCTCTGGTCTCTTTCTCTGGTCTCTCTCTCTGGTCTCTCCCTCTGGTCTCTCTGTCTGGTCTCTCTGTCTGGTCTCTCTCTCTGGTCTGTCTCTCGGTCTCTCTCTGGTCTCTCTCTCTGGTCTCTCTCTGGTCTCTCTCTCTGGTCTCTCTCTGGTCTCTCTCTCTGGTCTCTCTCTGGTCTCTCTTTCTGGTCTCTCTCTGGTCTCTCTCTGGTCTTTCTCTGGTCTTTCTCTGGTCTCTCTCTCTGGTCTCTCTCTGGTCTCTCTTTCTGGTCTCTGTCTGGTCTCTCTCTGGTCTCTCTCTCTGGTCTCTTTCTCTGGTCTGTCTCTCTGGTCTCTCTCTCTGGTCTCTCTCTCTGGTCTCCCTCTGGTCTCCCTCTGGTCTCTCTGTCTGGTCTCTGTCTCTGGTCTCTCTCTCTGGTCTCTCTCTGGTCTCTCTCTCTGGTCTGTCTCTCGGTCTCTCTCTGGTTCTCTCTCTCTGGCCTCTCTCTGGTCTCTCTCTCTTGTCTCTCTCTGGTCTCTCTCTGGTCTCTCTCTGGTCTCTCTCTCTGGTCTCTCTCTCTGGTCTCTCCCTCTGGTCTCTCCCTCTGGTCTCTCTGTCTGGTCTCTCTGGTCTCTCTCTCTGGTCTCTCTCTCTGGTCTCCCTCTGGTCTCTCTCTGGTCTCTCTCTTGTCTCTCTCTCTTGTCTCTCTCTGGTCTCTTTCTGGTCTCTCTCTCTGGTCTCTCTCTGGTTCTCTCTCTCTGGCCTCTCTCTGGTCTCTCTCTGGTCTCTCTCTGGTCTCTCTCTGGTCTCTTTCTGGTCTCTCTCTCTGGTCTCTCTCTCTGGTCTCTCTTTCTGGGGTCTGTCTGGTCTCTCTCTGGTCTCTCTCTCTGGTCTCTCCCTCTGGTCTCTCTCTCTGGTCTCTCTCTCTGGTCTCTCTGTCTGGTCTCTCTCTCTGGTCTCTCTCTGGCCTCTTTCTGGTCTCTCTCTCTTGTCTCTCTCTGGCCTCTCTCTGGTCTCTCTGGTCTCTCTCTGGTCTCTCTCTGGTCTCTCTCTCTGGTCTCTCTCTGGTCTCTCTCTCTGGTCTCTTTCTGGTCTCTCTCTCTGGTCTCTCTCTGGTCTCTCTCTCTGGTCTCTCTCTGGTCTCTCTCTGGTCTCTCTCTGGTCTCTCTCTGGTCTCTCTCTGGTCTCTCTCTGGTCTCTCTCTGGTCTCTCTCTGGTCTCTCTCTCTGGTCTCTCTCTCTGGTCTCTCTCTGGTCTCTCTCTCTGGTCTCTCTCTCTCTGGTCTCTCTCTGGTCTCTCTCTCTGGTCTCTCTCTCTGGTCTCCCTCTGGTCTCTGTCTGGTCTCTCTCTGGTCTCTCTCTGGTCTCTCTCTGGTCTCTCTCTGGCCTCTTTCTGGTCTCTCTCTCTCTGGTCTCTCTCTGGTCTCTCTCTTGTCTCTCTCTGGTCTCTCTATGGTCTCTCTCTGGTCTCTCTCTCTGGTCTCTCTCTCTTGTCTCTCTCTCTTGTCTCTCTCTCTGGTCTCTCTCTGGTCTCTCTCTCTGGTCTCTCTCTCTGGTCTCTCTCTCTGGTCTCTCTCTCTGGTCTCTCTCTGGTCTCCCTCTGGTCTCCCTCTGGTCTCTCTATCTGGTCTCTCTCTCTGGTCTCTCTCTGACCTCTCTCTGGTCTCTCTCTCTGGTCTCTCTCTAGTCTCTCTCTCTGGTCTCTCTCTGGCCTCTTTCTGGTCTCTCTCTCTCTGGTCTCTCTCTCTCTGGTCTCTCTCTCTCTGGTCTCTCTCTGGTCTCTCTCTGGTCTCTCTCTGGTCTCTTTCTGGTCTCTCTCTCTGGTCCCCCCTCCAGACTCTCCCTTCCTGATGACTCCACACTCCTCTTCGCTCTGACAATTATCCACACGCTGTCAACATCTCACCACGGGCGCCAGATAATGCAAACTTCACCGCTTTTTCTCCCACATGAGCAGGAGAAGAGTGACCGTACGGAAGTCAAACGGCTGAGAGGGCAGGTCTGAAACTGAGGCACCTAAGTTTGTTTGACATGAATGATACTGTTGCTGTGGCCATGTGTAGAGAGAGACCAGAGAGAGACCAGAGATAGACTAGAGTGAGACCAGAGAGAGACCAGAGAGAGACTAGAGTGAGACCAGAGAGAAACCAGAGAGAGACCAGAGAGAGACAAGAGAGAGAGACCAGAGCGAGAGACCAGAGAGAGAGACCAGAGAGAGACCAGAGCGGGAGACCAGAGAGAGACCAGAGAGAGACCAGGGAGAGACAAGAGAGAGAGACCAGAGAGAGACCAGAGAGAGAGACCAGAGAGAGAGACCAGAGCGAGAGACCAGAGAGAGACCAGAGAGAGACCAGAGCGAGAGACCAGAGAGAGACCAGAGAGAGAGACCAGAGCGAGACAAGAGAGAGAGCAGAGATTGACCAGAGAGGGACCAGAGAGAGACCAGAGAGAGACCAGAGAGAGACCAGAGCGAGAGACCAGAGAGAGACCAGAGCGAGAGACCAGAGAGAGACCAGTGTGAGAGACCAGAGAGAGACAAGAGAGAGAGCAGAGATTGACCAGAGAGGGACCAGAGAGAGACCAGAGAGGGACCAGAGAGAGACCAGAGAGAGACCACAAAGAGACCAGAGCGAGACCAGAGCGAGAGACCAGAGAGAGACCAGAGAGAGACTAGAGTGAGACCAGAGAGAAACCAGAGAGAGACCAGAGAGAGACAAGAGAGAGAGACCAGAGCGAGAGACCAGAGAGAGAGACCAGAGAGAGACCAGAGCGGGAGACCAGAGAGAGACCAGAGAGAGACCAGGGAGAGACAAGAGAGAGAGACCAGAGAGAGACCAGAGAGAGAGACCAGAGAGAGAGACCAGAGAGAGAGACCAGAGAGAGACCAGAGCGAGAGACCAGAGAGAGACCAGAGAGAGAGACCAGAGCGAGAGACCAGAGCGAGAGACCAGAGAGAGACCAGAGCGAGAGACCAGAGAGAGACCAGTGTGAGAGACCAGAGAGAGACAAGAGAGAGAGCAGAGATTGACCAGAGAGGGACCAGAGAGAGACCAGAGAGGGACCAGAGAGAGACCAGAGAGAGACCACAAAGAGACCAGAGCGAGACCAGAGCGAGAGACCAGAGAGAGACCAGAGAGAGACCAGAGAGAGAGAGACCAGAGAGAGGGACCAGAGAGGGACCAGAGAGAAACCAGAGAGAGACCAGAGAGGGACCAGAGAGAGACCAGAGAGTCCACAAAACAGCAAGACCACAAAAGGTGAATCTTTTCATTACGAGGGGCCACTGTCTTGAATTTTTATAATATTTTCACTTGTTTGTATCATAAACATAATGTCTCTGTTGATGGTACGTCCCTCTGATAAACATAGTGTCTCCGCTGATGGTACGTCCCTCTGATAAACATAGTGTCTCCGTTGATGGTACGTCCCTCTGATAAACAGTGTATCCGTTGATGGTACGTCCCTCTGATAAACATAGTGTCTCCGTTGATGGTACGTCCCTCTGATAAACATAGTGTATCCGTTGATGGTACGTCCCTCTGATAAATATAGTGTCTCCGTTGATGGTACGTCCCTCTGATAAACATAGTGTCTCCGTTGATGGTACGTCCCTCTGATAAACATAGTGTATCCGTTGATGGTACGTCCCTCTGATAAACATAGTGTCTCCGTTGATGGTACGTCCCTCTGATAAACATAGTGTATCCGTTGATGGTACGTCCCTCTGATAAACATAGTGTCTCCGTTGATGGTACGTCTCTCTGATAAATATAGTGTGATGGTTGATGGTGTGATGTTGATGGTACGTCTCTCGGAGTTTCCCGTCGGTGAATCTTCAGACTCCATCTGTTCTCTGAGAAGTGCTTTGTCAGAAGTCTCTCGGTGAAACCTGAGTCAGACCGGACTGAGCCGTGACTGTCCCACGCTCTCACTGTCGTTACTCATGTGTCCGGAGGAAAACACTTTCTATTTGGGAATTCTGTTGACTTTGGGAATTCCATACCATCTGTAAACTCTGGTCATTCCCTGCGTGTACGTCTGGGTCTAGTCCCAGTGTCGGCTGAATCCGTCCAATCAGAGAGCGGGGGAGGCGGGTGTTGTAGGCCGGGATATTTGCCTTCTTGACGGCCCAGGCGTCAGGCCGAGGTGGGTTTTTCCATGATTTTTTCAGGGTTGTGGAAGCACATTCTGTGGAGGGGCTCTGTTACTCTGTTACTCTAGTGAGAGTAACAGAGTAACAGACCGAGGGAGACAGACTCAGACCAAACTGTTGCTGGTTACAGGAATGAGGGACATTTGAAAACAGTCTGAGGCAGAATCTGTCATCTGTTTGATTTGTTATCAACATTTTACTTTTGGGCACAATCAACGTGAACTGATAGTGCAGAGGAAAAGTCAGGTGCCCCAGCTTTAATTTAGCGAGTTTAGTTGTGCTTCAGGAGGAGACACGGAGGAGACGCGGAGGAGACATGGAGGAGACACGGAGGAGACACGGAGGAGACACGGAGGAGACATGGAGGAGACATGGAGGAGACATGGAGGAGACATGGAGGAAACATGGAGGAGACATGGAGGAGACATGGAGGAGACACGGAGGAGACACGGAGGAGACACGGAGGAGACATGGAGGAGACATGGAGGAGACATGGAGGAAACACGGAGGAGACACGGAGGAGACACGGAGGAGACACGGAGGAGACACGGAGGAAACACGGAGAAGACATGGAGGAGACATGGAGGAGACATGGAGGAGACACGGAGGAGACACGGAGGAGACACGGAGGAGACACGGAGGAGACACGGAGGAGACACGGAGGAGACATGGAGGAGACACGGAGAAGACACGGAGGAGACATGGAGGAGACACGGAGGAGACACGGAGGAAACACGGAGGAGACACGGAGGAGACATGGAGGAGACAGTGGTCTCTCTGGTCTCTCTCTGATCTCGCTCTGGTCTCTCTCTGGTCTCTCTCTGGTCTCTCTCTGGTCTCTCTCTGGTCTCTCTCTGGCCTCTCTCTGGTCTCTCTCTGGCCTCTCTCTGGTCTCTCTCTGGCCTCTCTCTGGTCTCTCTCTGGTCTCTCTCTGGTCTCTCTCTGGTCTCTCTCTGGTCTCTCTCTGGTCTCTCTCTCTCTCTCTCTGGCCTCTCTCTGGCCTCTCTCTGGCTCTCTCTGGTCTCTCTCTGGTCTCTCTCTGGTCTCTCTCTGGTCTCTCTCTGGTCTCTCTCTGGTCTCTCTCTGGTCTCTCTCTGGCCTCTCTCTGGCCTCTCTCTGGCCTCTCTCTGGTCTCTCTCTGGTCTCTCTCTGGTCTCTCTCTGGTCTCTCTCTGGTCTCTCTCTGGTCTCTCTCTGGTCTCGCTCTGGTCTCTCTCCAGTATTTATCTGTGAATGACTGATGTCCGGACACTTTAGCTTCGTTCCAAACGGCTGAGTCCAAATTGCTTTTTGCATTTGACGTGTTTTAGAAAATAGTGGACGGTTACGGCAAAGTCCTGAGCTGAGAATAGTTCCGCTTCACCGAACCCACCGCCGCGGTTTGGGTTTGGGGTCGAGGCTCCAGAAGGCTTCGGGTTAAGGCACCATTTTAAAACCATTTCTTTTCCTCTTATCAGTGGAAATATTCAAAGGTAAATAGGAGGATCAAGACGGGACCATCAAAACCTCCGACCAAACACCATCCGTTCACTCATTCATCACATTCAGACCTATTGTGCATGTTGAAACCGGAGCACCTGGAGGAAACCTATGCGGACACAGGGAGAACATGCAAACTCCACTCGGAAAGGTCTGGAGGTGGAATCGAACCCAGGCAGAGGCGCTAATATCAGGAGCTACTGTAAAAACGTGTAGCTCCGCCCCTTTTTGTTTCAAAGCTCCTGTCTGAGTCCTGTAAGAGTATGACGTCACTATGACATCACTATGACATCACTCTCCGGGCCACAAGACGATAGTTAGTGGCCCCTAAATTGATTTTCGGTTATTATGATTATCCCGCAGCATTGATGGTTATGGGCGGCCCTGGCATGTTATACATCATCTGTTTGCTCACGGAAACAAGTTCATTTTGTTTAGTCTAAAATGTTAAACGTACGCATTATTAGAGTGTGTTTAACTTTACATTTGGTCCAGTTTTGGTTCAATCTAAACGCATTTGTTTTCTGAAAAATCAACCAGAAAATAACAGACTAATTTTACATTAAAGTCCTGTTAAAACACCTTCATGAAAACCGCCCAGTTCAGATGTGTTCAGCTCTGACCGACATGACACCTCTGGTCTAAAGCAACACAACTGTAACAGACATTAAACACAACGGCGACAATACGTCTCCTTTGAACATCCAAAAAGTCCAGGATCAACTTTTTACATTTTCCTTTTTCAGAAAATGTTATACTTTAGAAATGTTTAATTTTGTCTCATTCTTTCTCTACTTTGACTTGTTTGCAGCGAGAGCCAAAGCAGTTTCGTGGTTAGCGCTGGTGTCTGGGGCTCAGGCTGTAGCGCTGTGGGAGGATGTGGCCCGGAGGCAGCAGAGGCGGGAAAATCCTACTGTGAAACGCAGGTCCCAGCCGAGCGGAGCCGCAGCTGCCGGGGGCTGTTTGCCGAAAGGGGAACCAACCTCACTGCAAGCGGAAAATATACTATAATCTTGAATGTTGTCCTGGGTTTGGGCGGAGGGTGAAGAAAGGTGGTCTTCATCGAGATTTTAGCCCACACCCTCAGAACGCTGCCCTCTGATTGGTCAGAACGCTGCCCTCTGATTGGTCAGAACACTGCCCTCTGATTGGTCAGAACGCTGCCCTCTGATTGGTCAGAACGCTGCCCTCTGATTGGTCAGAACACTGCCCTCTGATTGGTCAGAACGCTGCCCTCTGATTGGTGAGAACGCTGCCCTCTGATTGGTCAGAACGCTGCCCTCTGATTGGTGAGAACGCTGCCCTCTGATGGGTGAGAACGCTGCCCTCTGATTGGTGAGAACGCTGCCCTCTGATTGGTGAGAACGCTGCCCTCTGATTGGTGAGAACGCTGCCCTCTGATTGGTCAGAACGCTGCCCTCTAATTGGTCAGAACGCTGCCCTCTGATTGGTCAGAACGCTATCCTCTGATTGGTCAGAACGCTGCCCTCTGATTGGTGAGAACGCTGCCTTCTGATTGGTCAGAACGCTGCCCTCTGATTGGTCAGAACGCTGCACTCTGATTGGTCAGAACGCTGCCCTCTGATTGGTGAGAACGCTGCCCTCTGATTGGTCAGAACGCTGCCCTCTGATTGGTGAGACCGCTGCCCTCTGAGCACGTGTATGAGAGTCACGCACACATGCTCGTTAGTATTTGGCGCAAAGCATCATGGGAGCTCGTCCACTGCACAGACCCGGGAGAACCTGAGAAATGACCAAATATGAACGAGCTCTGCTAATCAATAACTCTATGTAAACACCAGGATCACAGAGAGAACTAAAACTGAGCTGGAGGAGTTTAGGAGCCAGAGCAAAACTTCATCCATGAGCACTTCCATACTGGGATTCATCTAGCTAGCGTGTTAGCATCGTCCATCTGTATACAGTCTGTGTTGTAACCACATCACAGTTCACGATCATCAAAACAGAGTCTCCAGTCACACACACACCTATGGTTTATGACATCAGTGGGAAAGGTTGGCGTGTTGTTTAGACCAGTGTTTTTCAACCAGTGTGCCGTGGGACATTAGTGTGCCTTGAGATGTTGTTTGGTGTGCCTTGGGAAATATTCCAATATCACATAATTGGTCAAAATAATGTGAAGAGAAAATTATGTGAGAAGATTAGAAAGACTTTTTGAGCTCATTTAATTTTCTATATATATCTACCTTGATTAGAATGACTTTGCTTTCATACTAAAAGCTGCAAAGTTTCATGTTTGTATCAGTTTCAGCCGGTGGTGTGCCATGTGAGTGTTTTCAACCAAAAAGGTGTGCCACGGCTACAAAAAGGTTGGGATACACTGGTTTAGACCAGTGTCCACCATCGCACAGCAGTGGTTAGGAAAGGTTGGCGTGTTGTTTAGACCAGTGTCCACCATCGCACAGCAGTGGTTAGGAAAGGTTGGCGTGTTGTTTAGACCAGTGTCCACCATCGCACAGCAGTGGTTAGGAAAGGTTAGCGTGTTGTTTAGACCAGTGTCCACCATCGCACAGCAGTGGTTAGGAAAGGTTAGCGTGTTGTTTAGACCAGTGTCCACCATCGCACAGCAGTGGTTAGGAAAGGTTGGCGTGTTGTTTAGACCAGTGTCCACCATCGCACAGCAGTGGTTAGGAAAGGTTGGCGTGTTGTTTAGACCAGTGTCCACCATCGCACAGCAGTGGTTAGGAAAGGTTGGCGTGTTGTTTAGACCAGTGTCCACCATCGCACAGCAGTGGTTAGAAAAGGTTGGCGTGTTGTTTAGACCAGTGTCCACCATCGCACAGCAGTGGTTAGAAAAGGTTGGCGTGTTGTTTAGACCAGTGTCCACCATCGCACAGCAGTGGTTAGAAAAGGTTAGCGTGTTGTTTAGACCGGTGTCCACCATCGCACAGCAGTGGTTAGAAAAGGTTGGCGTGTTGTTTAGACCAGTGTCCACCATCGCACAGCAGTGGTTAGAAAAGGTTGGCGTGTTGTTTAGACCAGTGTCCACCATCGCACAGCAGTGGTTAGAAAAGGTTGGCGTGTTGTTTAGACCAGTGTCCACCATCGCACAGCAGTGGTTAGAAAAGGTTAGCGTGTTGTTTAGACCAGTGTCCACCATCGCACAGCAGTGGTTAGAAAAGGTTAGCGTGTTGTTTAGACCGGTGTCCACCATCGCACAGCAGTGGTGAGTTCAGGTAGTTAGAAAAGTGTGAGGGTTTCTCAGACTTCAAACACAAGCTGCTACTGAGACGATTTACTTTATTGTGGGTTATTTTTAGAACGAGACCCTGCAGTAAACAAGGAACTTCTGTACAAAACATAGTGGGGGAGGTCCCAGCACCCCCCCTCTTTGCCTCATGGTAGGTCCCTGTTCACTAAATCCTTTGTGTGGTGTAAACACAGGGAGAACATGCAAACCCCACACAGTCGTTACTTTATTACATCCATGGGAAATTAACTGGTGTTATGGTTATTAGTCCCACCCAGGTTCCCCCAATGTTCTGCTGATGTGTGAGGTCATGAGGCCCGAGGTCCCTACAGCTGCAGACGTTGGTAATGAGGCCCGAGGTCCCTACAGCTGCAGACGTTGGTAATGAGGCCCGAGGTCCCTACAGCCGCAGACGTTGGTAATGAGGCCTGAGGTCCCTATAGCTGCAGACGTTGGTAATGAGGCCCGAGATCCCTACAGCTGCAGACGTTGGTAATGAGGCCCGAGGTCCCTACAGCTGCAGACGTTGGTAATGAGGCCCGAGGTCCCTACAGCTGCACACGTTGGTAATGAGGCCCGAGGTCCCTACAGCTGCACACGTTGGTAATGAGGCCCGAGGTCCCTACAGCTGCACACGTTGGTAATGAGGCCCGAGGTCCCTACAGCCGCAGTCGTTGGTAATGAGGCCCGAGGTCCCTACAGCCGCAGTCGTTGGTAATGAGGCCTGAGGTCAGGTGCGGTCTATAGTCAGGTGTTGTCTATAGTCAGGTGAAGTCTATAGTCAGGTGCGGTCTATAGTCAGGTGTGGTCTATAGTCAAGTGAGGTCTATAGTCAAGTGAGGTCTATAGTCAGGTGCGGCTTATAGTCAGGAGAGGTCTATAGTCAGGTGCTGCCTATAGTCAGGTGCGATCTATAGTCAGGTGCGGTCTATAGTCAGGTGCTGCCTATTGTCAGGTGAGGTCTATAGTCAAGTGCGGCTTATAGTCAGGTGCAATCTATAGTCAGGTGCGGTCTAAAGTCAGGGGAGGTCTATAGTAAGGTGTGGTCTATAGTCAGGTGCAGTCTATAGTCAGGTGCGGCTTATAGTCAGGTACTGTCTATAGTCAGGTGCGGCCTATAGTCAGGTGCGGTCTATAGTCAGGTGCGGTCTATAGTCAGGTGCGGTCTATAGTCAGGTACTATCTATAGTCAGGTGCGGCCTATAGTCAGGTGCGGTCTATAGTCAGGTGCGGTCTATAGTCAGGTGCGGTCTATAGTCAGGTACTATCTATAGTCAGGTGCGGCCTCTAGTCAGGTGTAGCCTATAGTCAGGTGAGGTCTATAGTCAGGTGCAGCCTATAGTCAGGTGAGGTCTATAGTCAGGTGAGGTCTATAGTCAGATGCAGTCTATAGTCAGGTGAGGTCTATAGTCAGGTGCGGCTTATAGTCAGGTGCAATCTATAGTCAGGTGCGGTCTAAAGTCAGGGGAGGTCTATAGTAAGGTGTGGTCTATAGTCAGGTGCGGTCTATAGTCAGGTGCGGTCTATAGTCAGGTGCTATCTATAGTCAGGTGCGGCCTCTAGTCAGGTGTAGCTTATAGTCAGGAGAGGTCTATAGTCAGGTGCTGCCTATAGTCAGGTGCGATCTATAGTCAGGTGCGGTCTATAGTCAGGTGCTGCCTATAGTCAGGTGAGGTCTATAGTCAGGTGCGGCTTATAGTCAGGTGCAATCTATAGTCAGGTGCGGTCTAAAGTCAGGGGAGGTCTATAGTAAGGTGTGGTCTATAGTCAGGTGCAGTCTATAGTCAGGTGCGGCTTATAGTCAGGTACTGTCTATAGTCAGGTGCGGCCTATAGTCAGGTGCGGCCTATAGTCAGGTGCGGTCTATAGTCAGGTGCGGTCTATAGTCAGGTGCGGTCTATAGTCAGGTGCTATCTATAGTCAGGTGCGGCCTCTAGTCAGGTGTAGCCTATAGTCAGGTGAGGTCTATAGTCAGGTGCAGCCTATAGTCAGGTGAGGTCTATAGTCAGGTGAGGTCTATAGTCAGATGCAGTCTATAGTCAGGTGAGGTCAATAGTCAGGTGCGGTCTATATTCAGGTGAGGCATATAGTCAGGTAAGGTCTATAGTCAGGTGAGGTCTATAGTCAGGTGCTGTCTATAATCAGGTGAGGTCTATAGTCAAGTGAGGTCTATAGTCAGGTGAGGTCTATAGTCAGGTGCGGTCTATAGTCAAGTGAGGTCTATAGTCAGATGCAGTCTATAGTCAGGTGAGGTCTATAGTCAGGTGCTGTCTATAATCAGGTGAGGTCTATAGTCAAGTGAGGTCTATAGTCAGGTGAGGTCTATAGTCAGGTGCGGTCTATAGTCAAGTGAGGTCTATAGTCAGATGCAGTCTATAGTCAGGTGAGGTCTATAGTCAGGTGCGGTCTATATTCAGGTGAGGCCTATAGTCAGGTGCGGTCTATAGTCAGGTGCTGTCTATAGTCAAGTGAGGTCTATAGTCAGGTGCGGCCTATAGTCAGGTGCGGCCTATAGTCAGGTGAGGTCTATAGTCAGGTGAGGTCTATAGTCAGGTGAGGTCTATAGTCAGGTGAGGTCTATAGTCAGGTGCGGCCTATAGTCAGGGGAGGTCTATAGTCAGGTGAGGTCTATAGTCAGGTGCTGCCTATAGTCAGGTGAGGTCTATAGTCAGGTGCGGCTTATAGTCAGGTGCAATCTATAGTCAGGTGCGGTCTAAAGTCAGGGGAGGTCTATAGTAAGGTGTGGTCTATAGTCAGGTGCAGTCTATAGTCAGGTGCGGCTTATAGTCAGGTACTGTCTATAGTCAGGTGCGGCCTATAGTCAGGTGCGGCCTATAGTCAGGTGCGGTCTATAGTCAGGTGCGGTCTATAGTCAGGTGCTATCTATAGTCAGGTGCGGCCTCTAGTCAGGTGTAGCCTATAGTCAGGTGAGGTCTATAGTCAGGTGCAGCCTATAGTCAGGTGAGGTCTATAGTCAGGTGAGGTCTATAGTCAGATGCAGTCTATAGTCAGGTGAGGTCAATAGTCAGGTACGGTCTATATTCAGGTGAGGCATATAGTCAGGTAAGGTCTATAGTCAGGTGAGGTCTATAGTCAGGTGCTGTCTATAATCAGGTGAGGTCTATAGTCAAGTGAGGTCTATAGTCAGGTGAGGTCTATAGTCAGGTGCGGTCTATAGTCAAGTGAGGTCTATAGTCAGATGCAGTCTATAGTCAGGTGAGGTCTATAGTCAGGTGCTGTCTATAATCAGGTGAGGTCTATAGTCAAGTGAGGTCTATAGTCAGGTGAGGTCTATAGTCAGGTGCGGTCTATAGTCAAGTGAGGTCTATAGTCAGATGCAGTCTATAGTCAGGTGAGGTCTATAGTCAGGTGCGGTCTATATTCAGGTGAGGCCTATAGTCAGGTGCGGTCTATAGTCAGGTGCTGTCTATAGTCAGGTGAGGTCTATAGTCAAGTGAGGTCTATAGTCAGGTGCGGCCTATAGTCAGGTGCGGCCTATAGTCAGGTGAGGTCTATAGTCAGGTGCAGTCTATAGTCAGGTGAGGTCTATAGTCAGGTGAGGTCTATAGTCAGGTGCGGCCTATAGTCAGGGGAGGTCTATAGTCAGGTGAGGTCTATAGTCAGGTGCGGTCCATAGTCAGGTGTGGCTTGTAGTCAGGTGCGGTCTTTAGTCAGGTGAGGTCTATAGTCAGGTGAGGTCTATAGTCAGGTGAGGTCTATAGTCAGGTGCTGTCTATAGTCAGGTGTGACTTATAGTCAGGTGCGGTCTATAGTCAGGTGCGGTCTCTAGTCAGGTGCGGCCTCTAGTCAGGTGCGGTCTATAGTCAGGTGTGGCTTATAGTCAGGTGCGGTCTATAGTCAGGTGCGGTCTCTAGTCAGGTGTGGCCTATAGTCAGGTGAGGTCTATAGTCAGGTGCGGCCTATAGTCAGTTCATTCAAATGCTAAATGTCTCACTGACTCGGGCTCATTACATATGTCACGGTAAACTCAGATTTAGCCCCTCCCACCTGGGAGAAAATCCAGACCTTAGTACAAATGAAATGAGAACCATGGTGTGGTAAGACCATAACATCCCGCCTAAATCCGGCTGTGTATGGACTTACTGCGTTTCAGTCGTATCTTGTTTACAACATCTCTATGTTTAAAACTCATGAACTTCTCACTAAATTCAACACAATTATTATTAAAGTATTTTCCAAAGTTTGTACAAACAGCCTACAGCCTCAGTCCTGGGTCTACAGCCTCAGTCCTGGGTCTACAGCCTGAGTCCTGGATCTACAGCCTCAGTCCTGGGTCTACAGCCTCAGTCCTGGGTCTACAGCCTCAGTCCTGGGTCTACAGCCTCAGTCCTGGGTCTACAGCCTCAGTCCTGGGTCTACAACCTCAGTCCCGGGTCTACAGTCTCAGTCCCGGGTCTACAGCCTCAGTCCTGGGTCTACAGTCTCAGTCCCGGGTCTACAGCCTCAGTCCTGGGTCTGCAGTCTCAGTCCCGGGTCTACAGCCTCAGTCCTGGGTCTACAGCCTCAGTCCTGGGTCTACAGTCTCAGTCCCGGGTCTACAGCCTCAGTCCTGGGTCTGCAGTCTCAGTCCCGGGTCTACAGCCTCAGTCCTGGGTCTACAGCCTCAGTCCTGGGTCTGCAGTCTCAGTCCCGGGTCTACAGCCTCAGTCCTGGGTCTTGTGCAAATATATCTCCAGGTTTTTATCAGAAACACAATCAACAAGAGGCTTAAAAGAATCAATAAAACAAACAAGACAAAGTAAGTATTTTCCACTGAGTCCTGACAGTTCCATGGACACAGAGCATTCCGACAGGTGATTGTACTCTCTCAAAAACCTCTCTCTCACAAAACAAAACAATCCACACTTGATTCCAATCTGACGCTTTTGCAAATCTCTCTTTTTAAAAACAGGTAGAAGCCAAAAAACAAACCAGGCGGAAAGGTGCAGCATCACATCACGCAAGAAATAAAAAACATATGAATGTGTAAAAAGCAAAGCCGTTCATTACCTTCCAATCACGCAGCGATGCATGGTCCAGAGAGAGAGAGAGAGAGAGAGAGAGAGAGAAACCCCCCTCCCCTGTCTCCTTCCTATCGGATCACCACCTCCGCCTATGTGCCCAGGATATACCCCACCACATCGCTATAGAGCAGCCTCCATCATCTCTGCTGCTGCTGCTGCTGCTGCTGCTGCTGCTGCTGCCACGGGCCAATGAGGAAGTAGGAACGAGGGAGAGAAAGAGAGACAGGGGCAGAGCGGAGGAGAGAGGACGAGTGGGTGGAAGCAGCTCATAGCAAAGGAAAAAATATGCGAGGGGGCGTGAGGATTTGTGCTAGAGAAAAAAAACATTAGATTTCAGAGGTGAGATGGAGAAGAGGGTGATGAAGAGGAGGGTGATGAAGAGGAGGGAGATGGAGAAGAGGGAGATGAAGAGGAGGGTGATGAAGAGGAGGGAGATGGAGAAGAGGGAGATGGAGAGACGGAGGCTTACCACAGGCTGTCGGATCGGTTCAAGTCAGGAGCCTGCAACAAACAAGGAAGAGAGGTGTATGAGAGAGTAGAGGGAGAGAGGAGAGAGCAGAGAGAGAGACCAGAGAGACCAGAGAGAGAGACCAGAGAGACCAGAGAGAGAGACACGAGAGAGACAAGAGAGAGACAAGAGAGAGACCAGAGAGAGAGACACGAGAGAGACCAGAGAGGGACCAGAGAGAGAGAACAGAGAGAGAGACACGAGAAAGAGACCAGAGAGAGAGACCACAGAGAGAGACCAGAGAAAGACCAGAAAGAGACCAGAGAGAGACCAGAGAAAGACCAGAAAGAGACCAGAGAGAGACCAGAGAGAGACCAGAGAGAGACCAGAGAGAGACCAGAGAGAGAGACACGAGAGAGACCAGAGAGGGACCAGAGAGAGACCAGAGAGAGAGAACAGAGAGAGAGACACGAGAAAGAGACCAGAGAGAGAGACCACAGAGAGAGACCAGAGAAAGACCAGAAAGAGACCAGAGAGAGACCAGAGAAAGACCAGAAAGAGACCAGAGAGAGACCAGAGAGAGACCAGAGAGAGAGACCAGAGAGAGACCAGAGAGAGACCAGAGAGAGACCAGAGAGAGACCAGAGAGAGACCAGAGGGAGACCAGAGGGAGACCAGAGAGAGACCAGAGAGAGAGACCAGAGAGAGACCAGAGAGAGAGACCAGAGAGAGAGACCAGAGAGAGACCAGAGAGAGACCAGAGAGAGACCAGAGAGAGACCAGAGAGAAACAAACAAGACCATGTTTTCTGCCCATGTACAGCAGGTCGCCACAATTGAAGTTCAGTCAAAAACATCCATCATTTTAACCAATTCCTTGTGTTTTTGAGGCAGATAAGACTCGTCCTGGTCCCAGGGACAGGTGTGAATCTGACAGGTCCATTCTCTGGGATTTGATAATAGCCTCTGTTCGAATCCCCCTCTCTCTCCTCGCTGTGATTGAGTTACTCTGGAACTTGGCAAAGCTCCTACAAGCGAACACCGAGGGAGGACGAGGAAGAGGAGGTGGGAGGAGGAAGCGAGGGGGGGGGGGGAGAAGTGAACAGGTGGTGTGATCCGTGGCGTTTGGACTGTTGTAATGTGTGGATATAAACCAATGTGTTATGTAAGAGACCGGTCCAAGGGCTGGGTCTTGGTCTCGGAGCGACACTGGGCTGCGACACACACACGGCTCTGGTTCATGTCCCATTATTTAGTCCATGGGTTTGAAATGTGCTTTTATAAAGAGTCAGAGGAATTATGAGTCTGATGTGTGTAAATGTAAAAACTTTGGCAATCACAGGAATGACGAGTGTAGGGGAGATGTGGCCAGACCGCTGTAGTTCCGCCGTGCTCCACCAGAGGCTCCACCAGAGGCTCCACCAGAGGCACCACCAGAGGCACCACCAGAGGCTCCACCAGAGGCTCCACCAGAGGCTCCACCAGAGGCTCCACCAGAGGCTCCACCAGAGGCACCACCAGAGGCTCCACCAGAGGCTCCACCAGAGGCTCCACCAGAGGCTCCACCAGAGGCACCACCAGAGGCTCCACCAGAGGCACCACCAGAGGCTCCACCAGAGGCTCCACCAGAGGCTCCACCAGAGGCTCCACCAGAGGCACCACCAGAGGCACCACCAGAGGCACCACCAGAGGCACCACCAGAGGCTCCACCAGAGGTTTGGGAATTAAAGCTGCACTAACTGACTTTATTTTTGTATTAATTACGAAAATGCTATCCATGTCCGTGTAGTGCGTTGGGATATACGTCCTTTTGAAGAAAAAGTAGCGCAGATTTGTGCTGGCCTGACATTATATTTTCGATCGAGTTTTGATGAAACAAGGAAGAGAATGTGTTTCGGGTTGCAGATTGTGACCAATCACAGCGCACCACTAGCCCCCACTTTCGTGAGAAATCTCCAGGTCCGTTAGCACCAAGCCCCGGCGATCCAAGATGGCGCCCTATTCAAATGAATGGTTGTGCTCAGTGGCGCTTTGTGACGGCATGGGGGCTGAAAGATTAGCGGAAGTTGCCTGAAACTCGCAAAGATCTATGGGAAACTCGCCTGTATTTGGGCATGGTCTGGTCCTCCCGGTTCTGCGCAGTGGATGATCTCCCATAATGCATTGCGCCAAACACGCGTGTGTGGGTCTCACACCGGGTCTCACGCACGTGCACAGAGGGGCTCGGCCGCGCTCTGACCAATCAGAGCAGTTCATCAGAGCGGGAGTTAGAGCGAGAGCCAGAGGAGCAGAGTTTGTGGCACTAAAGTGTGGATTTAAACAAAACCGAAGGATTTAAGAAGAAAAAAAGTTCAGGATGACAAGGGACACTAAAATCCCCACAAAATCCGATCTTTATTAAAGCTGTAGGTTCTCTGTCAGGTTCTCTGTCAGGTTCTCTGTCAGCTGAGGTCGAGCAGTTTTATTATGCATTGAGTTCTATGGGGAAAATTTCTGGGTAGCCCACGTGAATTTAGTCTGGTTCAGTCTGGTTCAGTCTGCAGTACCGCGAGAATCCCCTGAGCACGTGAGTTATTCAGCTACAAGCTAGTAACACCCTATCCAGTTAATATAATACATCCATGGTTAGCACAGACGGCTGAGTTAGCACAACAAGCGGCGGAGCTAACCTGAAGCTTCCTCGTCTTCATCACCGGTTACTGCTTACACAGCGAAACAGCTCCAATAGAAAGTCTCGTTCCTCTGCACTTCCCGGTTCTATCTTTCTATGGTCACGCCATCCACGTGCAAATCCATATCCATGGTTTATCCATATTGGGAGAGGCTAGCTCCGTCCCAACACTGTGTGTGTGTGGGGGGCCATAGCTGCGTGGGTGCGGGGAGGGGAGCAGAAAGAGTGAGGCCAGAGAGTCCGCGGCTTCAAAATCCCAAAGTCAGTTTGTGCAGCTTTAAAGAAAAAGTTTACAAATACAAATTAATGAAGACACGGATGTCACTTTTAATGCAATTTGAGACGAGACGTTGATGGTTCCATGTTGATGGTTCCATGTTGATGATTCCATGTTGATGGTTCCATGTTGATGGTTCCATGTTGATGATTCCATGTTGATGGTTCCATGTTGATGGTTCCATGTTGATGGTTCCATGTTGATGATTCCATGTTGATGGTTCCATGTTGATGGTTCCATGTTGATGATTCCATGTTGATGATTCCATGTTGATGGTTCCATGTTGATGATTCCATGTTGATGGTTCCATGTTGATGGTTCCATGTTGATGGTTCCATGTTGATGGTTCCATGTTGATGGTTCCATGTTGATGGTTCCATGTTGATGGTTCCATGTTGATGGTTCCATGTTGATGATTCCATGTTGATGATTCCATGTTGATGGTTCCATGTTGATGGTTCCATGTTGATGGTTCCATGTTGTTATATGTGAGTTTTAAGAGTCACATGTTGGTGTAAAGTTTGGTTTAAGAACTGGTTTAGCTGCTGTCACAACACTACGCAGTGGGGTTGCCAGGTAGCTTGCCCGCCGCTAGCTTGCCAGTAGCTTGCCGGTAGCTGGCTTGCCAGTAGCTAGCTTGCCAATAGTTAGCTTGCCAATAGCTAGCTTGCCAGTAGTTTGCCGGTAGCTAGCTTGCCAGTAGCTTGCCGGTAGCTAGCTTGCCAGTAGCTAGCTTGCCAGTAGCTTGCGGGTAGCTAGCTTGACAGTAGCTAGCCGGTAGCTAGCTTGCCAGTAGCTAGCTTGCCAGTAGTTTGCCGGTAGCTAGCTTGCCAGTAGCTTGCCGGTAGCTAGCTTGCCAGTAGCTAGCTTGCCAGTAGCTAGCTTGCCAGTAGCTTGCCGGTAGCTAGCTTGCCAGTAGCTAGCTTGCCAGTAGCTTGCCGGTAGCTAGCTTGCCAGTAGCTAGCTTGCCGGTAGCTAGCTTGCCAGTAGCTTGCTTTCTTGCAACCGACGTCCATAGATCACCATGGAAACACGTGCCGCACCACTATCCGTGTCGGAACACTGTGGTAAATGAAACATGTGGGAATCGGGTCCTATGTTACGAATACTACTGCTGTGCGTGTTGTTCAAAACAACGTGTTCATGGAACACACTGCGGCGTGTTTCTGTCAGTACTTATGAGCAGAGACAACTCTGTTCTACTCCCATTGAAAACCACGTAAATCTGTCAAAAGGCTCTCATCCTGAGGGCGTACCGGAAATTATACATATATACTGTATATATATATATATATATATATATATATATATATATATATATACAGTATATATATAATATATATATCCATCCATCCATCCATTTTCTTCCGCTTTATCCGTTGCCGGGTCGCGGGGGCAGCAGTCTAAGCAGAGACGCCCAGACTTCCTTATCCACACACACTTCCTCCAGCTCGTCCGGGGGGACCCCAAGGCGTTCCCAGGCCAGCTGAGAGACATAGTCCCTCCAGCGTGTCCTGCGTCTTCCGCGGGGCCTCCTCCCGGTGGGACGTGCCCGGAACACCTCCCCAGGGAGGCGTCCAGGAGGCATCCGGAACAGATGCCCGAGCCACCTCAACTGGTTCCTCTCGACGTGGAGAAGCAGCGGCTCTACTCCGAGCTCCTCCCGTGTGACTGAGCTCCTCACCCTATCTCTAAGGGAGCAGCCCAGCCACTCTGCGGAGGAAGCTCATTTCGACCGCTTGTATCCGCGATCTCGTTCTTTCAGTCATTACCCAAAGCTCATGACCATAGGTGAGGGAGCTCTGACTGCAGACGCTGCTCCCTCATGACCATAGGTGAGGGAGGGAACGAAGATTGACCGGTAAATCGAGAGCTTTGCCTTTCGGCTCAGCTCCCTCTTTACCACAACGGTCCGATACAGCTCTGACTGCAGACGCTGCTCCCTCTTTACCACAACGGTCCGATACAGCTCTGACTGCAGACGCTGCTCCCTCGTCACCACAACGGTCCGATACAGCTCTGACTGCAGACGCTGCTCCCTCTTTACCACAACGGTCCAATACAGCGACCGCATCACTGCGCACGCTGCACCGATCCGCCTGTCAATCTCACGCTCCATCCTTCCCTCACTCGTGAACAAGACCCCGAGATACTTGAACTCCTCCACTTGAGGAAGGACCTCTCCACCCACCTGTAGAGGGCAAAGCACCTTTTTCCGGTCGAGCACCATGGCCTCGGATTTGGAGGTGCTGATTCTCATCCCAGCCGCTTCACACTCGGCTGCAAACCGTCCCAGTGCATGCTGCAGGTACTGGTTCGTTGGAGCCAACAGGACAACATCGTCCGCAAACAGCAGAGATGAAATCCTGTGGTCTCAGAACCGGACCCCCTCCGACCCCTGGCTGCGGTCTCCGAACCGGACCCCCTCCGACCCCTGGCTGCGCCTAGAGATTCTGTCCATAAATACAGTGAACAGAACCACAAATATATATATATATATATATATATATCACGTATAATAATTTCTAGCTCGTAGTGAAAAAAAGTATTTATTTGAATATCTCACGAAAAAAGTAAAAAGAACTATGGTACTAGTAAAGCCCATGGTACTAGTAAAGCCCATGGTACTAGTAAAGCCCATGGTACTAGTAAAGCCCATGGTACTAGTAAAGCCCATGGTACTAGTAAATCAGAATCAGAATCATTTTTATTGCCACGTAAGTAACAAAGTTACCACTTGGAAATTGTTTTGGCAGAGAACGTGCCACTTTGCCATTTGCGGCGCTGTGTGCAGCAAGAAACAGCAGAGAGCAATAACATACAGTTTCACAGACAATTGGATAGACACATTGTGCTTTGTATAAACCACGGATTTTTTTCTCGGGATGAGCACCTCCGACAGCCGGCCCAATGTGGCTGTCAGCCCATGGTATCGACCCGAGACCAGAATCGGTGCATCCCTAGTTTTTATGGTTGTTTTTCACGGTGAAAGAACTGGGTTTTAGTGTAGAGCAATGAGCCCGGAGGACCAGGTGAGATCATGTGGAGTTCTCTCTTCTGTACAAACTGTGCCATACAAATAAACACGTACTGTCCAACTGTCACTCATCTTTAATGCAAAATAGAAGATTAAAGATGAGTGACAGGTGCAGCAGAGTGGACTTTCATAAATACTCTTTAATAATATAATCTGTTTGAGACCCAGGACTGAGGCTGTAGACCCAGGACTGAGGCTGTAGACCCAGGACTGAGGCTGTAGACCCAGGACTGAGGCTGTAGACCCAGGACTGAGGCTGTAGACCCAGGACTGAGGCTGTAGACCCAGGACTGAGGCTGCAGACCCAGGACTGAGGCTGTAGACCCAGGACTGAGACTATAGACCCAGGACTGAGGCTGTAGGCCCAGGACCGAAGCTGTAGATCCAGGACTGAGGCTGCAGACCCAGGACTGAGGCTGTAGACCCAGGACTGAGGCTGCAGACCCAGGACTGAGGCTGCAGACCCAGGACTGAGGCTGTAGACCCAGGACTGAGGCTGTAGACCCAGGACTGAGGCTGTAGACCCAGGACTGAGGCTGTAGACCCAGGACTGAGGCTGTAGACCCAGGACTGAGGCTGCAGACCCAGGACTGAGGCTGTAGACCCAGGACTGAGGCTGTAGACCCAGGACTGAGGCTGCAGACCCAGGACTGAGGCTGTAGACCCAGGACTGAGGCTGTAGACCCAGGACTGAGGCTGTAGACCCAGGACTGAGGCTGTAGACCCAGGACTGAGGCTGTAGACCCAGGACTGAGGCTGCAGACCCAGGACTGAGGCTGTAGACCCAGGACTGAGGCTGTAGACCCAGGACTGAGGCTGTAGACCCAGGACTGAGGCTGTAGACCCAGGACTGAGGCTGTAGACCCAGGACTGAGGCTGCAGAACCAGGACTGAGGCTGTAGACCCAGGACTGAGGCTGTAGACCCAGGACTGAGGCTGTAGACCCAGGACTGAGGCTGTAGATCCAGGACTGAGGCTGCAGACCCAGGACTGAGGCTGTAGACCCAGGAATGAGGCTGTAGACCCAGGACTGAGGCTGCAGACCCAGGACTGAGGCTGAAGACCCAGGACTGAGGCTGTAGACCCAGGACTGAGGCTGTAGACCCAGGACTGAGGCTGTAGACCCAGGACTGAGGCTGTAGACCCAGGACTGAGGCTGTAGACCCAGGACTGAGGCTGTAGACCCAGGACTGAGGCTGTAGACCCAGGACTGAGGCTGTAGACCCAGGACTGAGGCTGTAGACCCAGGACTGAGGCTGTAGACCCAGGACCTTCTTCTTCTCCAAACCGAGCAGACCTCCTCAAACTTGTCTCTTTTTCTTTTCTGGTGGATGGTGTTGTGGACAGAAAGCCATCTCCAGCACAGAAGGCCCCGACACGTTTTTTTTTTTCTTTCTCTCTTCCTCTTTCTCACTCGAGCAAAACGATTTGTTCTGGCAAAACTTCTCCGCCAGACACACACAGAGCCCCCACAGCCGTAGCCGCAGCCGCCCACCTCCTTTTTCCAAGCCGTTGCTACGGTGACGGTAAAGGCTGAATTTTAATCAGACAATAAATGAAGGCGATGGGTTCTTTTATTATTGAAAGGCAGCTGTGGCGGCGGGCGGCTGTTTATGGGGACCAGGAGAGGACCAGGAGAGGACCAGGAGAGGACCAGGAGAGGACCAGGAGAGGAGCGAGGATACCGGAGGAGGAGAGAGGCTGCTGTCAGACTGTACAACAAACAATGAGGATTAGCGATGCAATATCTTGAACTAATGTTGGGTACATAAGACTCAGGGAAGAATTAGAAATACCACCTTAACCAGAGAGGGACCAGAGAGACCAGAGAGGGACCAGAGAGAGACCAGAGAGAGAGACCAGAGAGAGACCAGAGAGGGACCAGAGAGAGACCAGAGAGAGAGACCAGAGAGAGACCAGAGACCAGAGAGACCAGAGAGAGACCAGAGAGAGACCAGAGAGACCAGAGAGAGACCAGAGAGACCAGAGAGACCAGAGAGAGACCAGAGAGAGAGACCAGAGAGAGACCAGAGACCAGAGAGAGACCAGAGAGAGACCAGAGAGAGCCAAGAGAGAGACCAGAGAGAGCCAAGAGAGAGATCAGAGAGAGAGACCAGAGAGAGACCAGAGAGAGAGACCAGAGAGAGACCAGAGAGAGAGACCAGAGAGAGACCAGAGAGAGACCAGAGAGAGACCAGAGAGAGACCAGAGAGAGACCAGAGAGGGACCAGAGAGAGACCAGAGAGGGACCAGAAAGAGACCAGACAGAGACCAGAGAGAGACTAGAAAACTGAAGTGTTTAAACACTCCTGATTTTAAACCATGGGTGAATGTTTTCTACCATCACTTCCTCAAACTTCTTCTCACCTGGTTGATGCGACAGAGAGAGGCCGATCTGACTGGAGGTCTGGGGTTCGACTCCTGGTCCATCTGGTCCAAACGAGTCCCACGCTTTTTCTCAAACTTCTTAAAACCTTGACAGAACTGCGGCGGCGGCGGGATCACGCACTCGTCGCTGGAAATATTGGAATTTGAATTGTCTTCCGCCACGGTCTGCGCCTCTTTGGGACCGCAACGAGACCGCGGCAACTTCACCCTCAAACCCTCGCCCCAATCCTCTTCCGGAATAGTCGCCATGGAGCTCGCCGGCGACACCCTGAACGCCTGCAGGCTGCTCTGGTCGAAAACATTGGTCGTGACATCATCCAAGAACCGGGAGAACCTAACTTTGGCGAGCACTTTGGTCTCTCTCCTTATCGCCTCTTCCCGGGCGTTTCCACCGCTAGTATCCAGGCATCTCGTCCCGGCGGCGTCTGACCACTCCTCCCCCGGCCACGATATCACCCGGTCCAGACTCTGCTTCCGCTTTCTGGTCTCGGCCGTGTGCGTACGGCTTCTCTCGGGCGCCCGCGGTTCGCCCGATCTCGCCGTGTTGCGCCGCACCCGCTTCTGGAAGGTTTCTCGGCTCTGCGTTTTGATGGAGCGGTGCAGAAAAGCGGTGGCGCCCGAGCTCCAGCTGCTGCAGGTGCCGTCGCTGCTGTCCCGGGACGAGGAGAAGTTGTCGTAGAGCATGACGAAGGCCGGGATGGCTTCACTCTGGTCTTTCCCGGAGCTGCGGCTGTTGTGCAGACTGTGGCTTTCAGCGGATGAGGCGCGGTCCAGTGGAGACCCGGGATTTAAAGTGCTTTTCTCTAGTTTTTTTTGGGCCAATCCGGTCTGATTAGGGCCAGGCCTGACCCAGTACAATCCATTATGTCACCGCTGGCTGCAGAGGCTTCTCGCTCGCTCAGAGATGGACGGTCGGGAGAGAAATGTACGGAGGTTGTTCTGTGTTTTTATCATCTACACTTGTTTTTAGCGGATCGATTGCTTCTGTCTTGATTTACCGGAAATCAAACACGCCATTTCAACCGGCGAGAAACACTGCAACACATTTTGGACACTGACGTTGATTTACATTGAATTTTTCCACACCACATTTTTAAAACATTGATTTTATTTAAACTGAATGCTTTTGTGAAATTGTTTATACGATCAAAAGTTAAAAAAAACATCAGGTTACATTTATACAGAGTTTTTAAAAAGTGTTGATAATTAAAACACAAAATAACTTTCATACAAGAATGAACCAGGAAGTACCATCACATTAGTCCTGACTAGAACCAGGAAGTACCATCACATTAGTCCTGACTAGAACCAGGAAGTACCATCACATTAGTCCTGACTAGAACCAGGAAGTACCATCACATTAGTCCTGACTAGAATTAGGAAGTACGACCATATTAGTCCTGACTAGAACCAGGAAGTACGACCACATTAGTCCTGACTAGAACCAGGAAGTACGACCACATTAGTCCTGACTAGAACCAGGAAGTACCATCACATTAGTCCTGACTAGAACCAGGAAGTACCATCCCATTGGTCCTGACTAGAACCAGGAAGTACCATCCCATTAGTCCTGACTAGAACCAGGAAGTACCATCCCATTAGTCCTGGCTAGAACCAGGAAGTACCATCACATTAGTCCTGACTAGAACCAGGAAGTACCATCCCATTGGTCCCGACTAGAACCAGGAAGTACCTTCCCATTAGTCCTGACTAGAACCAGGAAGTACCATCCCATTAGTCCAGACTAGAACCAGGAAGTACCATCACATTAGTCCAGACTAGAACCAGGAAGTACCATCAAATTAGTCCTGACTAGAACCAGGAAGTACCATCACATTAGTCCAGACTAGAACCAGGAAGTACCATCACATTAGTCCAGACTAGAACCAGGAAGTTCTGCAGCTGCCGAATTCGTCCTGAAGTTCAGTTTTTTGTGTCAAAAAGTGTAAACAAACATGTAAACAGTTTGTGTTGTTATACACGGATTATATTATTGATTTGTGCTCATATGTATCAGGGTTTATTACGAGAAATGGAGGAAAAAGAGCTTAAATAAAAAAATACTTTTAGTAGCCACGAAGCTAGCGCCCGGATGCGTTGGAAGGCACACAGAGATGAGGCTAACACAGTTTAACTCTTGATTAGATTCACTTCCTTCACTTGATCCCTGTGTTTATTTATTAGTTAAACAAGTAAAGGACAGTGAATTTATTTAAAATGTATTTAAAAATTTAAAATGTATTCTGCTTGATTGAGAAATCTTATCTACTGATAAATTCTGTGGTCGACTGTCACTTTGCAAAATGTTTTTGGCAACACAGAAAACATGTTTGTTTAGCCACACCTGAATGAAAGCAGCAGCCTTCAGAATGTTGGAAAAGGGCTGCGGCTTTGAGTCCAAAATATCAGGATCAGGAGGAGCAGTGAGGACCAGGAGGAGCAGGAGGAGTAGTGAGGACCAGGAGGAGCAGTGGGGACCAGGAGGAGCAGGAGGAGCAGTGAGGACCAGGAGGAGCAGGAGGAGCAGTGAGGACCAGGAGGGGCAGGAGGAGCAGTGAGGACCAGGAGGAGCAGGAGGAGCAGTGAGGACCAGGAGGGGCAGGAGGAGCAGTGAGGACCAGGAGGAGCAGGAAGAGCAGTGAGGACCAGGAGGAGCAGTGAGGACCAGGAGGAGCAGTGAGGACCAGGAGGAGCAGGGAGGAGCAGGAGGAGTAGTGAGGACCAGGAGGAGCAGTGAGGACCAGGAGGAGCAGTGGGGACCAGGAGGAGCAGTGAAGACCAGGAGGAGCAGTGGGGCCAGGAGGAGCAGTGGGGACCAGGAGGAGCATTGAAGACCAGGAGGAGCAGTGAGGACCAGGAGGAGCATTGAAGACCAGGAGGAGCAGTGAGGACCAGGAGGAGCAGGAGGAGTAGTGAGGACCAGGAGGAGCAGTGGGGCCAGGAGGAGCAGTGGGGACCAGGAGGAGCAGTGGGGCCAGGAGGAGCAGTGGGGACCAGGAGGAGCAGTGGGGACCAGGAGGAGCAGTGGGGACCAGGAGGAGCAGTGGGACCAGGAGGAGCAGTGGGGACCAGGAGGAGCAGTGAGGACCAGGAGGAGCAGTGGGGACCAGGAGGAGCAGTGAGGACCAGGAGGAGCAGTGGGGATGGCCACCTCCCTGACCCAGGGATGGAAAAATAATAATGATGATGCAACTTTGTGTGTGTATCTGTGTGTGTGTGTTTGTATTTGTGTGTGTGTATCTGTGTGTATCTGTGTGTGTGTGTGTGTGTATCTGTGTCTGTCTGTATGTGAGTGTCTATGTGTGTGTGTATCTGTGTGTGTATCTGTGTGTATCTGTGTGTGTGTGTGTTTGTATCTGTCTGTATGTGAGTGTCTATGTGTGTGTGTGTGTTTGTATCTGTGTGTGTATCCGTGTGTGTGTGTGTGTGTATCTGTGTGTATCCGTGTGTGTGTGTGGATGTGGGACAGGGGCTTCGATCGCCCTAATGGACTTGTCAGACTGAGAGAGAGACACGTGTTTCTGTGAGAGATCGATGCAACTCAAACATGTCACACATTAATTAGTCTTGTTTTGGTTTTTAAACTTTGGAAGAACTTTTCCCCCAAAAAAACCTACGGAAAGTCCTACTTTTGTGCAGTTGCTGACCCCGTATGTATTGTCTGGAACGGTCTGTGGACATCCATGGAGTAGCTGAAATAATGACAAGAGAGAGACCAACGAGAGACCAGAGAGAGACCAGAGAGACCAGAGAGAGACCAGAGAGAGAGACCAGAGAGACCAGAGAGACCAGAGAGACCAGAGAGAGACCAGAGAGAGAGACCAGAGAGAGACCAGAGAGAGACCAGAGAGAGACCAGAGAGAGACCAGAGAGAGACCAGAGAGAGACCAGAGAGAGACCAGAGAGAGAGACCAGAGAGAGACCAGAGAGAGAGACCAGAGAGAGACCAGAGAGAGACCAGAGAGAGACCAGAGAGAGAGACCAGAGAGAGACCAGAGAGAGAGACCAGAGAGAGACCAGAGAGAGACCAGAGAGAGACCAGAGAGAGACCAGAGAGAGAGACCAGAGAGAGACCAGAGAGAGAGACCAGAGAGAGAGACCAGAGAGAGACCAGAGAGAGAGACCAGAGAGAGACCAGAGAGAGACCAGAGAGAGAGACCAGAGAGAGACCAGAGAGAGACCAGAGAGAGAGACCAGAGAGAGAGACCAGAGAGAGAGACCAGAGAGAGAGACCAGAGAGAGAGACCAGAGAGAGACCAGAGAGAGATCAGAGAGAGACCAGAGAGAGACCAGAGAGAGAGAGACCAGAGAGAGAGACCAGAGAGAGACCAGAGAGAGAGACCAGAGAGAGAGACCAGAGAGAGAGACCAGAGAGAGACCAGCGAGAGACCAGAGAGAGACCAGAGAGAGACCAGAGAGAGAGACCAGAGAGAGAGACCAGAGAGAGAGACCAGAGAGAGAGACCAGAGAGAGACCAGAGAGAGACCAGAGAGAGACCAGAGAGAGACCAGAGGGAGAGGCCAGAGAGAGACCAGAGAGAGAGAGACCAGAGAGAGACCAGAGAGAGACCAGAGAGAGACCAGAGAGAGAGACCAGAGAGAGACCAGAGAGAGAGAGACCAGAGAGAGAGAGACCAGAGAGATAAAACTGACTGTAAATTTCAAACATTCATGCACTCAATTGACCCAGACAGCAATATCCTTAAAAATGACTGTTTATATTATACTGACAGCACCTACGACAAAACATTTACTCAAGATAAAAACATATCTCTAATTAATTTTAATAGTAGGAGTTTACGTTGCTATGCTCACACTCAGAGAGCAGCCGTCCTCCTGTGGACTCACCACCTGCAGAGGGTCAGTGAGGGGCTGGTGCTATGAGACTTGGGTGGCATCTCTGACTGCCACCCCCCTGACCCAGAAATGGATTAAAGGGTAGAAAATGGATGGATGGATGGAGTTTACGTTGCAATTTTGAAGCCATCCAAGACTACTTAATCAACTCAAGTCTAAATTTAATATCATAGCTATTTCAGAAACATGGTTGAATGAATATGACAAGTTTGATCTAAAAGGTTGTCGAGCGTTTTCTCAATTTGGTGATTTCCCCCACGCTGAAAGGGGGTTGTACCCGCAACTTGAGGATATGCAGAGGAATTTACTCAGTCTATTTAAAACTTTCTTCTTTTATTGTGAAGTTTATTTTATAACATCAGAGCATAAGCAGCAAGCAGCAGAAGCAGATGCAAAAGCAGATGCAGGTGCAGATGCAGAGCGAAGCAGCAGAACAGGTCAGCAGAACAGCAGAACAGTTCAGGACAGCAAACAGGTAAAAAACCTTTAGAAAAACACAGACAATACCTAACATCAGAAACCCAAACAATTCAATTTAGCATAATCAATAAGTCTCAGTGAATGAATGAATTTCCCCAAATTAGCATAATTAAAATAGAATATCACATTTCAATAATTCTGTACACTAATGCAAATTCAATACATTAATATCATTAATACTATAAGTTCATTATATTAGCCTTAGCAAACAATTCACATGATTTAAACAATTATCAATAATGCATATTCATAAAACAGCCTTAACTCATTGCAATCAAATACACTAGCACTTAAACACAACTCATGATTAACAACACAACTCATGATTAACATCACACCACTATTGCACTGCCCCAATGTCCCGCGCTCCCACAGTTTAAATGTCCGAGCCGGCACGGAAGCCAGACTCCTCACCCGTGACTGAGCAGCGCGCACACACACATACACGCGGCCGATTGCACCATAGAAAGTCTGTACAAACAAGCGGGTCTTACCGGCTGCCTCCTCAGTCTTTAGATCGCGGGTACAACTATACTAGAGCGCACGTACACAACTTATATGCGCCCTTGTTTACAGAAATGAACCCGGAAGCGCCGGTCCGTTCACTTAAATAGTCCGGGTTACTAACAGAGTTCCGGGCGCGCGTTCCGGGCACGCGCATAGACTGACTAACCCCGCAAATAGCGCTACACCTCCCACTCGAGCTTTGAGAGTATACGCAGCAAAGGTCGCACTAATGTCTCGCGCTATGTAGACTGCTCTTCCACAGGCAGAAGAACAATAACACGACGGACGTCCCGATGAAGCACCGTACCACTGAGACGCTCCTTTTGGACGCTACAGTTCATCTCTTTGGTTGAAGGTGTTGGTAGAGGTACGCTGTGTCCAGGAGAGACCAGGACGTCCACGTCCCTGACTACTCCCTTACGATCTGGAACTGCGGCGACGACTCTCCCCAGTCTAAACTGACCTCGCAGAGCATTCTGATCGCAGAGCCACACGACGTCCCCGACAGCCACATTCCTCTCCATCGTGTGCCACTTGCTTCTGATGAAGAGATTTGGACCGGCGAGTTGGCACCAGGACCTCCAAAAGCAGTTCACCTGAGTCTGGATTTCTTGAAGACGTTTGAAGGGGTAACTGTCAAAGTTGAAAATCTTGAAATCTCCACTTTGAGTTCTTCGGCCCATAAGGAGTGTATTTGGTGTCACGTACTGGATACGGTCCTCTTGACTCTGGATTCTTGCGTCAATAGGCCGCTCATTTGCGAGATTTGCGGCTAGTTGCAGAGCTGTAAGGAACTCGCTGAAGGTCAGGTTGGTCGAATTTGTCAAGCTTTGAAGGGCTCTCTTTGCAATTCGCACTGCAGCTTCGGCAGCCCCGTTTCGGTGCGGTGAATCGGCGGGAAGCACCTTCCAACTCCAGCTCGTGCCTTTCCTTGCGGCATATTCCTCCAGGCACTCCATGTCTTGGGCCTGTAGAAATGTGTAGAGATCTTGAAGCACTGGTCTCGCCCCTATAAAGTTGGTTCCAGGGTCTGACCATATCTTCTCGGGGTGCCCTCTCACAGAAGTAAACCTTTGGTAGCCCATTAGGAAGCTTTCTGTGGACATCGTACTGACCAGCTCTATGTGGAGGGCTCTACTTGCCATACAACTGAAGGCAACACCCCAGACTTTTGTGGTCACTCTTCTTTTGACGTCGTCCTTCACATGGTATGGTCCGAACATGTCAACAGCAGTAAATTGGAAGGGCGCAGCGGGTCTGGTTCTTTCAACTGGCAGGTCACCCATCACTTGCTGACACACTCGTGCTTTTGCTTTTCTGCAAGTGATGCACTGGTTGACCACCTTTTGAGCGACCCTCCTTCCTTTCACAACCCAAGCCTTCTTCCTCATCCTCAGCAAAGTACCAGCAGCTCCTTCATGCCCCTCCTGATGACTTTGCCGCGCTAAGAGAATGCCTAGCCAGGAGTCTGCAGACAACAGCGGAATGCCGGCATGATCTTCCTTAAAATGCTGTATTCGGCCTCCACACATCATCAATCCACTAGCTCCATCTTTGTACACAACAAGTCGTTCCAGAGTGGTATTGGGGAAGCTCACTCCCTCTTGAGCTGCTAGACAGAGGTCTCGGAAGCCATCTTCTCTCTCAGAAGGGGAAGGGACCCCAGTTAACAGGACTGCCTCCCACTGCGGTCTTCCTATGGCTTTGCCTTGAAGGAACTTTTTTGCTGCTCGCCAGACAAACACAATAACTCTCACTAGCCTTCTCAGATCACTAAACCTTGTGATATCCACAAGTGCTTTTACTGCAGCACCAGCTGGCAGTCGGTGTGGATTTTGCTGGACTGTGCTAGTGATTGGTCTTGGCTCAATCTTGGCTTTTGCACGAGTGAGTGCGGCAGCGAATGCCTTCTTCTGCAGCTTGATAATATTTGCTCTAGCAGCTGCAGCAACGTCCTTCGCAGACTTTATGGGCCACTCACTCTCTGGTAGACATAAGAACTTTGGGCCCATCTGCCATTTGGAGTCTTGAGCCAACTCCTTTGGCCCAGCTCCCCTTGAAATTATGTCTGCAATATTTAGTGGTCCAGGGATCCACCACCAATCCTGGACGTTTGTGCAGCTCTGGATTTCTCCAATTCTGTTCGCAAAAAATGTCTGGTATCCATAACACTCCCGCTGGATTGCTCCTAAGACTGTCTGGCTGTCAACCAGGTGATACCACTTCTCAACGTGGATTCGGCAGCATTTTTGGAAATGCTTCTTTAACCTTGCAGCAAAGACCGCTCCACAAATCTCAGCCTTCACAGCATCTCCCTTGTGGTCTAACGGTGTAAGCTTGGCTTTGGACTCAACCAGACGAATGATTACATCTTCGCCATCATCCCACCTCAGATACAGCACTGCTCCGTATGAATTCTCGCTGCCATCGGAGAACGTAACACCATAGGGTGCAGCTGTTTGATTTGGGGGTGTCAATGCCCTGGGGAACCTGAGTTTGGCAAGTTCAGCATAGTCCTCAAGGAGGCAGATCGCATCTTCCCGAAGAACTTCAGACAAAGCAGTATCCCAGGTATCTGCTGCCTGGTTGCCGTTGCCTTTTGATTCCTGGAAGGCTCTTCGTACGAGAATTGCTCCCTTCTGCTTTACAGGCGTCACAAGACCAAGGGGATCATACAGTCCAGAGACCTGGCTTAAGAGCTCCCTTCGAGTGAGTGGATCCGGAGCTTGCTCTCTCACTTCCTTTTTCACCAAATCAGTCCCCAACCTCATTTTCCGTCGCCTTTTCGAAAAATTCACAGAAACCATGAGGTGGAGTTCATCATTGATTGGGGTGTAGCCCATGCCCAGCGCCTTATTGTCCTCCTCTGAAAGCTGGTTTGGAAGTACAAACGTTTTGGACCCTGGCTCTTCCTGGTCCTTGGCATCTTCCCTCCCACTTTGGCCAGAGTAGACCCAGGGCTTCAGCTGGAACCCTCCCGCATTTAAAATCTGCTCAACTTTAGAGGTAATCTGTTGCAGCCGATTCAAGTCATTGTGAGAGGTAAGTATGTCGTCAACGTAGGAGTCTTCTTCCAGTACTCTGCGCTCCTCTTGAAACTGAGAAAATACTGAAAGGTTTGCAGTCTCCCGCATTGCGACTTGAGAAATACAACCAGCTGGCTTGTCTCCAATATTGACTCTTGTAATGGCATACTCCTGGATATCTTCCGCCTCAGAGTCTCTCCAGAGGAAGCGATGAAGGTGCACTTCTCGGTCTTCAAGCCAGACTGAATTGTACATCTTTTTGATGTCACCGAGGGCAGCAAAAACACCTTGCCGGAACCTGATGAGGACAGCTCTTATGTTATTCAGGACATCTGGGCCTTTGAGAAGGAGGTCATTTAAGCTTTGTCCTTTAAACTTTTGACTGCTATTCCAGACGAGGCGAACGGGGGTGGTGACTGAGTGGGGATTTGGAGCGACAAGATGGCTGATGTACCATACAGGTCCAGTCCAGCTTTTTAGCTCTTCTGGTGACAGCTTGATGGCAGCTTTTCGTTCGACCATATCATGCACTTGAGAGCTATAAGCCACTTTCCATTCTGGTTCCTTAGCCAACTGCCGCTCTGTCCTCAAGAATGTTGCCTCCACAGCCCTCCTGTTGTCCGGCAGCGAGGCAGGATCTTCGGTCCATGGATACTTGGCGTGCCAATGAGGTTGCTCGCTGTGGTGGTCTCCAGTCACATACGTTAGCCCACTTTTCACCCTCTCCAGCTCCCTTTCCTCTGAGAGGGTCATTTCCTTTCCTCCGGGTTGACACTTCCCACAACGGCAGCCTCCACACCTGGGCTCGCAGGCGGCGCCGATGCTGTCCCACTTCCACCACTCTATGAAATCACGGTTTGCACTTGAGGTGGTGGCTAGGATAGCTTTAAGTGGTTTGCAAAGTTCTTTATGGGTCAGCTCTAGGTACCGTGTTGCAGCTGTTCGCATGGAGCGGGCGAAATGCGTTCTCGAAGCATGAGCCACGACGCTCACTTCCTCCGCAAGATCCGGATGAGAGCCTGCAACAGTTTTCCCCAAAGGGCCGTCCCACAGCACAAGATTCCCCACTGAGCGCACCTTTTGAGGCACGAGCTGGCCTTCCTTGTGGCTAATGAGCAACTTTATCTCAGCTGGCCTCCATAGCTCACGTAGGGAAACGTCTGGGAAGATTTTTTGCAGCTTCTTGGGTGACACATGGTGGTGGATTTCAGCAATACGATCCAGCCCATAGCACACTAGCTGGTGGGATCTCAAGGTGCCTTTTGGGGTGCCGACTCGGATCTTCAAGAGATACCGTTTTGTCTCCACGGTCACCTGCATGCCACCAACTCCATGAACCACAAGTGTCACATCTTCACTCCTTAAGTTCAGCTCATCTGCAGCCTCATGTGTGATGTAGTTTGTGTCCGATGCTAGGTCTATTAATGTTCCGACACTTTGCCCAGCATTTGTTGTGACCTCCAAAATCATCATGATGACTGGAAACTCTTGGAGGCCACTGTCTAGCATCCGCCCACCCGTCACAGAGCTAAGCGTTTTGGCTGCTGCATTGCAGAAAGCATTTCGGCATTGCTGCGCTAGCTCAGGGGTCAACTTTGTCAAGAAATCCTCTTGGTCCTCTGTGCATTTTTTCCCACTGCGTGCCATAGGGCTTGACTTGGGTCTCTTGGACAGGCTTTTGTTTGGTGGGTTAGGACACAAGAGATAGTGGTGCTCCACTCCCCCTCGCCCCTTACAACTTTCCAACCTGCAGAGAAAAGTTGTCTTGCATTCTCCATCATCATGGTTTGACAGGCAGTTAGGACAGGCACCAATCTTTCGGACAGCTTCCCTCTTTTCTGCCAGACTGAGGGCCTTGAACTTCCGGCACCGATACAACCTGTGCCCATGCCCATTCTCTCCACAGACAGTACACATTCCCTGGGGAGTGGCTGACAGAGTCGCCTTTGTTCTGGCATGCTTTGGGGGAGTCCACGTCTCTTTCCCATCGTCTCTTAATTGCTCCAGCTCTTCATAGATCCCTTCCTGGCCTTTCAAGAAAGAGAGAAGCATGTCGAAGCGATCTTTCTGGGGTTCAAGACTCCGCTTTTCCGCAGCAAACATGAGCCACTCTTTTTTCAGGACTTCAGGCAGTTTACTTTCCAGTGATTTTGTCATCAGTGGGTTTTTCAGGGCACCTGTGTCCCCCAGTTCTTTCAGGTCGTTTAGAGCCTTTTCGACCACTCGTATAAGGTCCACAATCTTCCTTGGCTGATGACCTTTAACTGGGGGAAGGGCCTGAAGCTCTTCGACTATCTCCAGAGCTATTGCTGTCCTGTTTCCGAACCGGTTCTCTAATGTGCGGAAGATCTCCTCAGCTGTTCCGCACGTTGACAGACGAAGATCTCTCGCCACTTTTTCTTCAAGACTGTCCAGTAACTGGAACTTCCTGACTTCTTTGGAGCCAGTA